TTAAAAGGCACCGGCAGTTTCTCCTAGGATAACGCCCTATTGTCTGTCCTATAACTCGGCAATCCCACGCCTATTCTCAGGGAAACAAGTGCAGCGCAGGCTGATACCCACAATGCCTGTGGGGACTGGCTGGGCAGTGAGGTAAGGTCATCACTGCAGTGATGATGAAGTAGCCTACCCTTGTCCGTGTTGGCAGGGCGAAGCAGAAGTGCTGATTCCTATGCACAACAAACCACTCCCCATGATTTCTTAAAGAAAGTGACTGCTTTTCCCCTTTGTAATCAACTTGAACGCTATGCTGGCAAAGTGTATCGCGTGAAACCAAAGGTGGTCAATCCACTATTTGCTGTTCGGCTGCTTTTCTTTTTCCCCTCCCTTTGCTTTCCTGTCCTCCTACACAATAGCAATAGGTATACCCTTCAGGTTTCTGTCTCCTCCTGGCCTGTTTCCTGTTTTTGTAAAACAGAGAAAATAATTGTACCTATTTTACAAGACTGCTGCGAGGACAGTGAGATAGATAATGCACAGGAAAGAGCTTGGTAAAGTGGAAAAACAACAACAAATGCAACGCCCACCACAGCCTTCTGCCGGGATGGTCCTAGCAGCTTTGCTCATAACAGCCAAGCCTGGGGACCACCTGCGTGCAGATCATTCAGCTGGTAAAACAGTGTGTGTGGTCAGCAGTGGAATACTACACAGCAACGAAAAAGAATACTTGATTGCTACACAGAACACAGATGGATCTCTCAGATATTATACTGAGCAAAAGAAGCCATGCCCTCCCCCCCCCCCCCCCCCCCAAAATCATTCCATCCCTGGCTCAGTTGATTGGAGTGTCATCCCATACAGGTTCAGTTCCCAGTCAGGGCACATACATAGGCTTCATGTGCAATCCCCAGTCAGGGTGAGTACAGGAAGCAACCAATTGATGTTTCTCTCCCCCTCCCTCCTCCTTTTCTCTCTCTCCCCCTTCCTGTCTCTCTAAAAATCAATTTAAAGCCCTAGCCAGTTTGGCTCAGTGGATAGAGAATCAGCCCGCACACTGAAGGGTCCTGGATTCGATTCCAGTCAAGGCCACATACCTTCATTGCAGGCTTGATCCCTGGAAACAAAACATATCCTTGGGTGAGGATTCAAACAAAACAAAACAAAACAAAACAAAAACACATTGAATACGAGTCTGTTGATACTAAGTCCAGGACCAGGCAAATGTTATCTACAGATAGATTTCAGAATAGTGGTTTACGTGGGAAGGGTGCTGTCTGGGAAAAAGCAGGCGGCAGCTTCTGGGCCCTGGAATGCACTCCGTCTCCACCTAGGTGCTGGTTACACGTGTTTACCCCTTTGTAAGGAGTCACTGAGCCACATACAGTACAGTTTACACACTTCACTGTATTGTTTTTTAATATATTTTTATTGATTTCAGAGAGGAAGGGAGTGGGAGAGAGAGATAGAAACATCAATGATGAGAGGGAATCATTGATCGGCTGCCTCCTGCACGCCTCCTACTGGGCATCGAGCCCACAACCCGGGCATATGCACTTTACCGGAATTAAACCCAGAACCCTTCAGTCCACAGGCCGACACTCTATTCACTGATCCAAACCGGCTAGGTCTATCTGTAGTTTTTCCTTATGAAACGAAATGCAATAAAATAGGAAATAGACTGCACATATTAAGGGATTTAGTGAAACTTCTATTCTAATGATATATATAAACACATACAACATATAATGTACAATGTGATGTTACATATTACATAAAATATATTTTTATAGTCCATTATATACTACTAGAGGCCTGGTGCATGAAATTTGTGCACTGGGGGGGGGGTGAGTTGGTGTCCCTCAGTCCAAGCCTGCACCCTCTCCAATCTAGGACCCCTCAGGGAATGTCTGACTGCTGGTTTAGGCCCCCTGTGGGATCAGGCCTAAACCAGCAGCTGGACATCCCTCTCAGAATCCGGGACTGCTGGCTCCCAACCACTCGCCTGACTGCCTGCCTGATCACCCCCTAACCACTCCCCTGACAGCTTGATCGAAAACTAACTGTTCCCCTGCTGGCCTGGTCCCCCCCAACTTCCCTCCCCTGCTGATCTGGTCACCTCCAACTGCCCTCCCCTGCTGGCCTGGTCACCTCCAACTGCCCTCCCCTGCTGGACTGGTCACCCCCAAGTGCTCTCCCCTGCCAGTCTGGTCGCCCCTAACTATTCTCTCCTGTAGGACTGGTTGCCCCCAATTTCCCTCTCCTGCTGGCCTGGTCATCCCCAACTGCCCTCCCCTGCTGGCCTGGTCATCCCAAACTGCCCTCCCCTGCTGGCCTGGTTGCCCCCAACTGCCCTCCCCTGCAGGCCTGGTCACCCACAGTTGCCCTCCTCTGCCGGCCATCTTGTGCCCACATGGAGGCAGCCATCTTGTGCGAGGGCATGATGGCCAATTTGCATATTACCTCTTTATTATATAAGATGTCACATAATGCACTAATTATGCAGTGTTGGAAATGCATATTGAGGGAAAACTGTGGATTATATAAAAATTGCACATATGGCCCTGGCCGGTTTGGCTCAGTGGATGGAGCATCGGCCTGCGGACTGAAGGGTCCCAGGTTCGATTCCGGTCAAGGGCATGTACCTTGGTTGCGGGCACATCCCCAGTGGGGGGTGTGCAGGAGGCAACTGATTGATGTTTCTCTCTCATCGGTGTTTCTAACTCTCTATCTCTCTCCCTTCCTGTTAAAAAAAAAAAATCAATAAAATATATTTTTAAAAAACTGCGCATATGTGTGGATTATATAACTAGTTCCTGGAAATGGAGATGGAGACTGAGACCTGTGTGCAGTGGGTGTACCTTGGAGCCTCTGGGACAGCTCCTGTGGGTGGGGCTGGAGGAGGCAGGACTGGGCAGGGAAGAGCTGAGGTGAATGCAGTCCCAACAGTCTATCTGATGGGGCACCTAGAGCTGGCATGGCCTCCAGTTGTGCCAAGGGGGCTGACCTTTGTGCTCCGACCCCCTCACTCACCCCCCTCTCCCCTTACTTCCTCTTTTCCAGGGGTCGGTAAACTCTTTATGTAAAGGGCTAGATAGTAAATATTTTTGTCTTTGAGGCCATATGATATCTAGAGCAAATACTCAACTCTGCCATTGAAAAATATATAAATGGATGAGCGTGCCTGTGGACACTGGATTTGGCCTCAGGGCCTTGGTCCATTATCCCCTGCTCTATCCCGGTAACAGAACCTCCTGCTGTTCCAGGAACAGGCCAATCCCACACCTGCCTCAGGGCCTCCATCCATACTAATAGCCCTTTCTGACTCCCAGGCAGCTGCTTTTGGGCTCATCTCAAATGTGGCTTCCTCCAAGACCCCCTGATCTGAACTGGCCATCCCCATTACTCCTGAACTCTGACACTGGGTTAGTTCTTGACTTCTTTACTGTCCCTTTCCCCGCACCAGATGTCAGCCCATAATGGTGAAAGGATTTGAGGATCCGGAGAAGCAGGTTAGGGGAAGGGGGTCCACAGGAAAGGAATGCATACGTGATGGGCAAAGACAGCGCCAAGGCCCAGATTGTTTACAAGAATCTTACAAGATAAGGAAGAAGGAGAGGGGGGCGCCCTCTGAGCTTTGAAACTTTGAAACTGAGACCATGCAGGGAAAGGGGGAACGTGACCAATTAGGAAAGCTCGGGGGACATAAAATAAGGAAGGGTCCAATTAGAAAGTGGAATGAACAGACAAAGAAGCTCCCAGCATTTATAAACTGGTAGACAAAGAGACGAAAAGGACTAGGTTCTCCCCATTTTAGAGAGAGCAGGTTTTCTCCATTTGGGGAGCCTCCCCAGGGGGAGTTTGTATGTGCTCGTCATGAACTTCCACATTTTTGCTTAAAATCTTTTAGTCCGCGAATTTATTCTTCAAGCTTCGTGAGACGAGAACCATGCAATGAGAGTACAAGCCTGCCATTCCACGTGTCAACGACGGGGACTTTGTTTTGTTCTCCATTAATTCTCAGCGGCTAGAATGGGGCGTGGTAGGTGCTCAGTAAACATTTGTTTAATGTGAGGGTAGATTTCTCCTCTCCCTCTGTCCTTGGGGCTGGGGGACCCAGCCTAGCCACTCAGCGTCACAGTGGCTCGTACAGGGATGGCAGGGGCCTCCTGAAGTCCATTTGCTCCTGGGGTGGCCCTCTCTGCTGGACAAAAAAACCAACATGGGATGGACAGGGCCTGCCGGGAGCTGGGAGAGACAGAGGCTCAGGCATGTTTTGAGGCTTTTGTGAGCCACTGTGCATGGGTTTCTGTTCTTTCCTCCCCTAAAGCGCTGAGTACCTCTGGAGGGAGGAATCTGGATTCAGCCTGATTCCCAAGTAACCAGAGGCTGGGCAGGTAATACTTCGGGGGGAAAGTCTGTATGTGCGTCTGTCTCCCCACTGGACTGTGAGTCCTGTGAGGGAGGATGAGGCTGTCCCAGTCACCGCTGGGACCCACATGGCACAGAACAGGCAGGGCGCATAATGGGCACCTGGGTGACAGTGTCTTAAATGAAAGAATAAACGAAGGACAGTTTTGCTAAGGTTAACAGGGATTTTTCAAATACGAAAAAAAAGCAGCAATTTGAACACAACCAACTTGAATTACAAATTTATTCTAACCCCTCTCTCCCCAAGTCGCAAATGCATACAAAATTTTTGCCAGTAAGTCGGAGCGATGAACCAACCATCCTCCGGCCTCGTGTATTTTGAGAGGGCGCTCTTCCCACCTGCACACACCCTGATCCCACCCCCACCCAGTGGGTGAAGCTGTTGCATCCCACAGGTCTGGCCACGTCAACACACATAGGGGCTGTTTTCTTTTTCTTAAACATATTTTTATTGATTTCAGAGAGGAAGGGACAGGGAGAGATAGAAACATCAATGATGAGAAACGTAATTGGCTGCCTCTTGCACACCCCCTATTGGGGATCAAGCCCACAACCCAGGCGTGTGCCCTTGACTGCAATCGAACCCGGGACCTTTCAGTCCACAGGCTGACGCTCTATCCACTGAGCCAAATTGGCCAGGGCAGGGGCTGTTTTCAATCTCACATGTGAGCACAGCGCTACCTCAGGGTCAGGTGGCGCAGGGTCAGGGGCTTAGGCTCCCACCTCCTCCTCTTTCTTGCCTGTGTGACCTTGGGCAGGTGACTTTCCCTCTCTGTGCCTCAGCTTCTTCATGAATGAAGAAAATGTCACTGGGATTACGTAAAGCACTTAGAACAGTGCCTGACACCCACCCAGAGCTCAATGGATTCCACCTGACTGCTGTTTGTTAACATGATGGGGGAGGGGTTTGCAGTCAAGATCCCTGGCGTCCAGAAACCCGTCCTCCAGAGATGTGACAGGGCCAGAGTGAATCCTCTCAGGGGTAACCATGGAAACCAGGCACTGAGCCTGCCCACCTGGCTCCTCGGTCCACCACCCTTCCATGCACTGGTATCTCTTGCCTTCTTCCCCTCATCATTTAACCCACTCGGGTCACTCCTACTTTAGAAACACCCCACCCATGACCCATCTCCGCGCCCTCTACACCAGCCTCTCCCTTTCTTCTATAAAGAATTGATGTTTCACTAACCCAGTTTACTGGGTTTCTACCCGGTCTTGTGGCCAGGTGTTTTTAACCACCTGGGGGAAGTGGAAGAAAACCTGCCCCACCCATTTTCTGGTCTATGACCACGCCCATTCACTGAATGCCAAGATCTTGGGTGGCTGTGATTGGGGATGGAGGGCCACCCACTCTCAGCACTGCTCTGGGACCTCTGTGGAGATTCCCACCCCTCCCCCAGTGATCTGCCTCCCCCTCGTCTCCCTTTTTGCCCCCCCACCTGTTCCCTCAAGCACCCTGCCCCCAGGGTAACCTGGGCTCCCATTTCCCTCCCAGTGCCACTGGCTCCCATCCCTCATGGGCTTCATAGCCCTGGGCAAGTCCCTTGGCTTCCTGAGCCTCAGTTTCCCCATCTGGGACAGTTCATAGGATGACTCTAGACTCACCCCCATCAGATCTCTCAGCTTCTCTCCTAATTTTAATGAGCTTTGTACCCATTTTGGAGATCCATATAATGGTTCTCAGACAGTCCTTAAGACGGCTTCCTCATCTCAGGGCTCCTTTAATTAGGAAACACCTACAGTCTGAAAAATAGGAGCTCTCCTTGGGCTGTTCCTCTCTCATGTGGGAAAGGTCAAATGTCCCATGGGGTCGGTAGGAGTCCCAGCACACTCTTGGGGTGGGGAGGTGGAGCGAGGTGATGGAACTTGTGAATGTGAGCTTATTTGGGAAAAGGGTCTTTCCTAGAGTTAGGGTGGCCCTAAGTCCAATGACCAGGTGTCTTTACAAGAGACAGAAGAGAAGGCCACGTGAGGATGGAGGCGGAGACTGGAGAGAATGCAGCCGCAAGCCAAGGAGCACCTGGAGACACCAGAAGCTGGAAGAGACAAGGATCCCCCACTAGAGCCTTCGGAGGCAGTGCTGACAGCTGACTTTGGATCTGCGGCCTCTAGGACTGGGAGAGAATAAATTCTGGTTGTCCTAAGCCACCAAATTCGTGGTAATTTGTTAGGCAGCCCTAGGAAACGACTAAAGAAGGTAAAACCAACTAGGGGCCCACACCAGGGAGATGGCGGTGGCACTTGGGGCTAAGGAGGCAGGAGGTACCAGTGCATGAAGAGGGACTGCTGGACCAGTCCGGAGCCCCAGGGGAGGGGAGCAGGAGCCCACAGATCAGCATTTAAAGGAAACATGGGGGATGTGATCATCTAATCCATGGCCCCTGGGGAAGGTAGGAAAGGACAGCCAGGAAAGCCCCGGGGACTCTGGTGACAGGTAACAGGAAGCTGAGGCTGAAAGGCAAGTTGATTAGCCCTGGGCAAAATCAAAGTCCACCAGGTCAGGGGGTTGGGAGGGCATTGCCTGAGAAGACCAGCCATTCCAGTGGGTGGTGCCACAGACTGAAGGAGGAGGGGTCTCTGTTGGAATATTCCACTTGAGGACTCAGGAGAAGGTCTCACAGATCAGGTTAAGGAAAGATATTCGGTGGATCGATTGCAAGCCAGGATCCTTTTCCCCCTCTTAAGATAAAGGGGACAGAAGTCCAGGGAAAGACACTGCATTCCTTACAATGGTCTGTACCAACTGATCAAAAGAAGGGGGTGTTCAGTGTAATGGCCCAGTGTCCCAGGGAAGGTAGCACTGATCAGGCAAATGGGGAGCTTGACAGGCTGATCAGCTGAGGTCCAGGTTCCATGTTTTCCTTCTGCCAGAAGAGTGAGCATGTCGTCCTGGGGCTGGGACCCAGAAGGCCGGTGAGGTTTGGGATGGGGCGGAGAGATGAGCACTGTGTGCTGTACCAATGAGCTAAGGAGGTGGCTATGTTGGAACGCTTCACAGTCCCAGTGCAAGGTACTACCACTGGTCAGCAGGGGATGACCAACAGCCAAGTTCATCAAAATCTCAGTGGCTTCCGCTGGGCCAGCACATTAGGGCGCACATGGCCACATCCAAGTTCAGGCTTCAGCAGCCTCCTATTTCTCGGGCGTGGACGCTGGCTTGGGCGTGGACTTGGACCGCGCCTCCGCGTCCCGGGTGTAGAGTTCAGCGCGCACCTCTTGCATCTGCGCCCGCAGCTCCTCCAGGGCTCTCGGCGCCTCCTGCGCCTGCACCTGC